AAACTAGTTTACCATATCTATTTAAAGTTAAAATTGTGATGAGAAAAGATAAATATGATCTTTTAAATATCTTTCATCTAATTATAGAAGAGATATAAACAAATATACATGTACATTGAATATTTCATCTAGTCTGAAACCGAAGAATCCTACCTTAAATAGATACGATTTGGAAAAAATATTATTTTTACTTGATTTCACAAATCATTTTGTCGACTATTCAAAAATTTCAAGTCATTTAATTCATTTTTGGCAATTTCTTAAGCATTCGAAATGAGAAAATGGTAAACACAACACACGAAAAATAGTAACGTTTGATGACGTTACGGCGCACCGGAGAGCAGTTCAGTTTGATTTAGCTGATGTAATAACACCTTCAGAGACTTAAAATGAATACAAAAATTTACAGATCTTAACTATAGAAATGAAATGGGAGTTTTCTTAGTGAAGTTGTTCTTGATCGAGTCTCTATGTACTAGTATAACACCAAATACGGAAAACGCTGTTTCTGTTGACCGTCAATATTAGAATGTCTTTTAATTAGTTGAACGAGGGTGGGAATATTGTACGTAATTCCAAATAAATCTTCAGAAGTTAGTTAGCACGTCAGTGCCAGTTTGTTCCTCAACTGTTTAGGTAGACAAAAGTATGTGCATCAGTGAAAATACTTAATTTAAGTACGACATACCCAACTTTATTTTAGTGCAAAGATTAAACATAACGCTGTTTGGACACTTTGACGTCATCATCCGTGCACCGTAAGGCGATTCAATACATAACATTAAATCTCATAATTTGTTCATTTACATGTTTGCATATATCTATTTGAAAGTTGCTGTGTTTATTCAAAAAACAAGTACTAAAGAGTAATGAGATTTTCCTAACATAATGAAGATTTATTCATGCGAGACAACTTGTCAACGCTTTTACCGGACAACCTTCGTATTTAGATTTTTTTTTGTTAAAAAGTGAATAAATCCTGCATTAAGAACATCGTTTACTCAAATATTAAAGTGGAACATATCCCCAGCCAGGCGATCTCATCGGAAGATTGAGGTTTCTAAATTCAGAAGATTTTTTTTTTTTTTTTTTGCATAAAAATGGTGTTTACGGCTCACTTTATCGTTAAGTAACATTCATATTTGTATCTTTTAAATTATGTTCTACGAACTTTATTTCCAAAAAATAATACGGATCTCAATTCTTAAATTACCAGTAGAAAGCTTGCAGAAGAATATGTTTTAAGATATATCCAAATCATATTCTATTTGTGTCTTTAACATTTTTAGTGAAGTTCTAAAATTCATGAAATTATAGTACAAAAAAAATTTCTGAAAAAAATTTTTCTCGACAGAAAAAAAAATTTCACACTATTATTAAAACATAATTTAATTCGTCTGGTTTTTGTCGTAGCAAAAAATTAAAAGTACATGTAAGTTTCCTTTAAGGGTACTTAACAAAAACAAAAATTTGATGAATGGATTGTTATATATTTGTTGGGTGATTTTGATTTAAAAACATAAAAAAAAATCCCTAAAATATATGAAATTGAGGTTTTACTTGGTTTTGACTTTGTTCAATTATTTTTTTACAAAGTTCTGCAAAATTTTTTTAACCTTATGACACCATCTTATAAATTTCCCATACAAAAAGAAAAATTATTCAGGTTACCAATAAAATTAAATTAGGGGGGAAATAGCTAAATTGAAAAAAAATTGTGCTATTTATCATTAAAACTAAAACAAAACACGATTCTTGAGAAATTATGGTTAAAATTTGTTCGTGATGTTGTTTTGACTAAAAGAATACTTTGGGCAGATGCAAAGTGCAACTTCTAAATGGGCATTGCACCATATATTGATAGCAAAAAATATATTATTTTTGACAAACTTTCATAAATTGGGGAAAAATTTAAACTCATATTAAAAAAAAAAAATTTTAAATTTTAGAATCCCTAGGTCTCATTTCCCGGGGTAGCCGTAGACCGGTGGTAATCAGTGGTAATCCGTGGTTTTAAACCCCAACATCGGTCAAATGGTCTAGTAGTCCTTAAAGTATCAGTCACATTATTCAGCATGGGTAACATGGGCAACCAATTCTTTTTATGATAAAAATGGCGTGATTGCCGGCCAGACTTACAAAGGCCAAGCGATGCATTGCTAATCAAAAACCGATGTTTCAGGATAATCACGAATTTTACATCGCTCTTACATTTGTGAACATCTTTTGTAATCGGTCACTACGGGCCAATTTTTGGGTCGAACATCCCGATATGGCCTTATCTGCTAACACCACTAACCACCCGAAGACCTCAGATTAAAAATTGGACGATGCTCGGCCATACATCGGCTGATCCTTAAAACACGTGATAATGATGAGTTGCCGATGAGGAGCGATGTAGGCATCGTTGCTCGCTGAATATTAACCCCAATTATTTCCACCATGACCCCACCGATTCCCAAAAAGGCCGTCACCGTCCGATCACAGGGTGCCCGGCCCGGAAAAACGTTTTCACCAAAAAAGCATCGGTTTCTATCCACCCCCATCCCTTAAAGGACTGATACTTCGAAAGACCAGCCCCTCTTATCAAATGAAGTAAATAATTATTTCATTTTTCCCAGCGACCTTATTCATAATACCATAGTTTATCTTTATTACATATACCTAGTGCACCTTCTATTTTACGTTTTCATAGAACACATAGTGATACTTTTGTTTTCCTATAGCAAAACATGGATACTGTCATTCATTCCATATACTAAACAGTACCCTTATTAATCCCAACTCCTCTTATACCACGGAATAAGATTTAATTAAACTTTCACAGACTCTTGTTTACATAATGCCATCGACACTTTCTTTTTTACTCCTGATCGGACACTTATTTCGGATCTCCCAGTGCAAACATGGACTTTGCCATTATAATAATATTGGAGGCGGCGGTATTATTTAGTGAGCCCAGTGCTCATACATGTTCATGTAGACAGGAACTGTTGTTTAAGCAATGCATACATGAAATATATGTGTGTGCTGTTTAGATATCTGTCATAGAAGGATGGATTACTTATTGGTCAATTATTTAAATGAGCATGTAATTAATTTTGTACTCTATATTAATACATGTTCCAATTTTGCAGATATGGACAATTTTCAAGTTTCCAAGGTTTAGTGTCTGCATAGGAACATTCTGTAAACAAACGGTAAAATATTTTGCAAACGTTTTGTCCCTGAAAATTTTAAAAATTGCATTTTTATCAGCTTCAGATAGCTTGCAAATGGTCTACTTAACCGAATGATGGCTTATCCTTCATAGACATAACTATCAAAAAAAAAATCTTTTTAGGCGGTCGTGGTCCTCAAACAATGTGCTCACGGGTATTGTTTTTCTTGCTTGGAGAAACTTTTGGAACAGAAGACAGAAGTTGGACCGTCGAATTTAGCATCAGTTAAATGCCATCGGTACTTTTGCAAAATAATGGTACCAACAACATCAATAAATCGATTTTTTGCAAAACTGAAGGACAAATGTTTCCGAGTAAGTATAACCTGTGCTTTTATTACTAGTTATGTAGAAGTAAATGTATCTTTTATTTTATAAATATTTGACATACCTTTTAGAAATAAGGTATCATTTGAAAATATCTAACAGGCTATAACTTCGGGAGCTAGTCAAAAAATAAAAAAAGAAAAACTCTCGGACATAACAATGCTAATTGTTTTATTTTTCACCATAACCTTAATTTCTATTTTTATACAGACTGCAGTAGTGCTAGAAATAAGCCCAGTTGAGTGCAGCAAGTGTGAGGTTTATGACAGAAAAAACGTTTCAAAGGTTAGAAACTATTATTTTATGCGAATAATCATACGTGTGACCACAACACTATGTTCTTTTAAACATGTATTCTGGTATAGGGAACTTACATTTTACATTTTTTAAAATATTTTTCAAGGCAAGATTTCGAAATAGGTTTTGCTCCAACGAACATTCCTTCTGCATTGACTGCATAGTTTCTCCATCTCACAAAGTTCCAGTACCACTCAATGCCTCAAAAATGAGATTGCGGATGATGAACAAGTTACTTGTCAATTTAATAGTGGATGCAAGAACACAACACCTGTCCGATGCTTTTATACAATTATAGATGTTGTAAAATATTCTAAAGCACTGGTACAGTATTTAATTTTATAACAATGCATTTTTCTGTATAAAATCAGTCTCATCTATCTATCATCTATTTCTTAATAATTTTTTTTTTTAATTTTGTATTAGAAAAACTATGACTCTTTAGTTTTTGAAGCTTACCCAATTACATGTATTGTCATTGTAAATTCGACAAAATTTACAAAGTTTCCACATTTTATGAAATAAAATGCAGGATAAATACCCCAAAGAATTAATAACGTCTTACTATCAGGTGCATTCAAAAAAAAGAAAAAAAAATACTATCATGGTTGGTACGCCTTTTTTTATGATTTGCAATATTGGAATACATGTATTGGAATATTTTGAGATATGCATTTTATCACTAGATTTAAATATATTTATTCAAATTAACAAGAAGAATAAATAGCAGGCACAATTACATGTACATGTTCCTACTGACGTTCTCTCCATAGGTCAATTATGGCACAATTACAGCCACAAATACACATTGTACAAAATGTATGAAGCTGGTAGATATTAAAGAGGCTGGTGGGAGGCAGTCATTTTCAGACTATTTTGATATTCTTTAAAAGAAGAGCTCCATATAAAGATATACAAAAATGCTTAAATTTTAAAACGAAAATATATAATGTTTTCTTTGCTAAATGCTAGTTGACAGCTTGATACCGTATCTCTAAAAATAAGTTAAATTTGGTGGTTAATTTGTTGACCCCACAGCCTCCTTAAGAACCCTCTCTACACTGCACACTTAAGAGTTTTGATTTTAAGATATTTTTTCTGCAATTAGAGTGATTTGCCCTTGGATCTTACATGATTCTCTGTAAGCACCAAAAAATCTTGGAAACGACATGTCTCCGATTTTGATGAAATTTGCACCACAGGTGCACCTTGGTACAAAACCAGCAAATATGGCGTTAGAAGTTTCCCACGTGCACCCGGTTGCCATGGAGACGGATCCATTGAATTTGACCATTTTCGGCCATTTTTGACAAACAAAAGCATGAAAATTGAGGAAATATGAATGCATTTTTTCTTTATGTAGTGAACTCAAATATAAATCTTTGTATCACAAGAAAACATCAACTGTTAAAGAATACAGGGCATATAACCAGTTATTCCAGAATTGACCGCACTCTTAGAAAATGGTTCGGCAAAATAGCATAGTTTCTCAAAATGTGAAAAATGGAAAATTTGGCATTTTTGAGAAATTTAAGGCTAAATAAAAAAAATTGTCTACGGAAATTTTTCAAATCATATGCGTGTCGTCAAACGTCAGTATTAGTAGTGTCCCCCCATAAAAAAATTGGAGTGGGATCTCAACGCTATTTTTAGTAACATGTATCTAAAATAGACATATTTCAGAAAAATCCAAAAAATGAAATTTGGGAAGAGTTTAAGATGCCATTGCCAGGTAATTATGAAATATACTGTAAAAGTCAATGTGTAATGTAAACTGGACACCAATAACTACCATGCATATTATTTTCAGGGATTTTCGTTTTCTATTTAAAGCTTCAAATGCCTAAATATAGACATGCCTCATAAAATGATGAAAACTGTCATTTTTTCCTCATTTTGCAGATCCGCTGAATCATAAATAATAAAAATATGGATCTCTCTGATATTTCATCAATAAGAACAAGGAATAGTATAATATCTCACAAATTATTGAGGACAGGCTCTCATCTCTATAAATAGTACAAATGTCTAAAAATAGACACATATGAAATTAACTGTTTAATGTTGATTTTCCACTAATTCTCAAATTAGAGATGGGAAATTTACCAACTTACTGTCACTAACTGTAACTGATATTATGTGACTGACAAGACAAAAGAACATTCAATGGAATGCAGCATGATAAGCAGAGGTTTCCATTTCTATTTATAGTAACACGTGTTTAAAAATGCATAATGCATAATATAGTGAAATGTCGTTTTTTTGTAAAATTTTGGATGAATAATTGCAGACTATCTGTTTTTAATTGCCATTGGCATATGGTGACCATAACGTAAATGAAAGCCTTATATCAAAAACAGAATGAGAAGCGGTTTTCCATTTCTTATTATAGTAAAACATGTTTGAAAGTAGACTACTGCAAAATATCAGAAAAATGTAGTTTTTTTACTTTTTTACATTTTGGATGAACAATTGCAGACAATATGTTTTTAACTGCTAATTGGCTTATGGTGACCAACAAGTAAAAGAAAGCATAAACGAAATACAGAATGAGAAGCAGAGGATTTCATATTTAGTTATAGTAACACATGTTTTATAAATAGACGTGATGAAAAATATCGCAAAAATGTCACTTTTTGTACTTTTTTCTAAATTTTTGGATGAATAATTGCTGACTATATGTATTTAACTGCTATTGGCATATAGTGACCAACATGTTAAAGAAAGCATTATATCAAATACAAAATGAGAAGCAGAGGTTTCCATTTCTATTTATAGTAACATGTGTTTAAAAATAGAAATACTGTAAACTATCAGAGAAATGTCATTTTTTGTACTTTTTTCTACAATTTTGGATGAATCATTGCTGACTGTCTGTTTTTAACTGCTATTGGCATATGGTGCCCAACAAGTAAAAGAAAGCCTTATATCAAATACAGAATGAGAAGCAGAGGTTTCCATTCTCTTTTTATAGTAACATGAGTTTAAAAATAGAAATACTGTAAACTATCGGAAAAATGTAGTTTTTTGTACTTTTTTCACATTTTGGATGAGCAATTGCAGACAATATGTTTTTACTGCTATTGGCATTCAGTGACCAACAAGTAAAAGAAAGCATATACGAAATACAGAATGTGAAGTAGAGGTTTCTATTTCTATTTATAGTAACATGAGTTTAAACATAGAAATACTGTAAACTATCGGAAAAATGTAGTTTTTTGTACTTTTTTCACTTTTTGGGATGAGCAATTGCAACAATATGTTTTTATCTTTTGGCATTCAGTCCCAACAAGTAAAAGAAAGCATATATGAAATACAGAATGTGAAGCAGAGGTTTCTATTTCTATTTATAGTTACACATGTTTGAAAATAGACATGCTGCAAATTCTCGAGAAAATGTACACTTTCGCACTTTCTTTCTAACATCAGGGATGGTCAAAGTGCAGACAAACGGCTTTTATTTGTTTGACAGAATGTGACTAACGAGTGTGAAAAAGCTTTAGCTAAAGTGTATAAGAATAATGTTTAAGCGTATTTTTACATTTCTGCCTGTAGTAACACATATTTATAAAAAATCAGGAAAATAAAAATCATTGTTTTTCTCAAATTAGGGATATGAAATTTGCAGTTAAACTTCCATTAGCTGTAACTGACATGGCTAATTGTATTCGGGCGCCAGCGCGTCCACCTCATTCCAATACATATATCACAAAAGTATGTTCTCCCTGCATTAAAACACTCAAATGACAGCGATTTTCTTCATAAATTAAGCATTATCGTTTATACTCAGGTCGACAGCCCTAGCCCGATTGAAATTCTTTTGTTAGGTGGATCCAGAAAATTTTCCGTAGGAGCCGGTGTCTCAAATCACTATGTCAGTTTAAACTAATCTGTCCAAAGGGACTAAATACCCCGCTGGGTTTTTCAGAGGTGCTAAATCATGAATATTTAATGATCTTATTCTAAGAGAAGAGAGAAATGCTAAAACATTTTTAATGCAAAAGTAATGCTATAATATTTTCATAAATGAAACGAAGGTGCATCCTAATAAAAAAAACCAGACTAAATATACGGGCAGACACGAATTATGAACTTTTTCTGTCAGTGACCTTGACCTTGCATTAATGGCCTTGGATCAAAGTCATGACAGAAAATCAGGTAATAAGCAATGTTTGTGTGAAGTAGTAGATTCAGGTTTAGCCATAAAAAAGATATGGACCAGACACAAATAATTTTTTTTTCAAGTGACCTTGAACTTTCCCAAATGACCTTGCGACAAGGTTATGACACACTCTTAGGTCATGAGCAGTCTGTGTGTGAAATGAGATCCTACCAAGTTCATCCATAAGAAAGATATGGAGCGAACACGATTATGAAATTTTTCTTCAGTGACCTTGAACTTCCCAAAATCACCTTGGTTCAAGGTCATGACACACCCTTAAGTCATGGGCAGTCTTTGTGTAAAATGAGAACCTACCAAGTTTATCCATAAGAAAGATTTGGACTAGACACGAATAATGAAATTTTTCGTCAAGTGACCTTGAACTTCCCTAAATACCCTCGGGTCAAGGTCATGACACAATATTAGGGTAATCTTTATGTGAAATAGGAACCTACCAAGTTTATCAATAAGAAAGATCTGGAACGGACACAAATTATAAAATTTTTCTTCCAGTGACCTTGAAGTTTCCCAAATGACCTTGGGCCAAGGTCATGACACACACTTAGGTCATAGGACAATCTTTGTGTGGAGTAGTAGATTCTAATGTTCCTCATTAAGGAAGATATGGATTGGAACTTTTGCACAGACAGATGGGCAGATGGACAGCTAGACAGACGGGAAAAAACTGATTCTTATATCCCAAAACTTCGTTTTGGGGGGGTTATAATGAAGTTGAATATTCCAGGGATCCAGATCCCCTTTGATCAATGCATGCCTTACCACATATTGTTCAAAAGTAATCTGAAATTTGCCAAAGTTTTTGAGTTGGCTTACTTTCATATCTCTCTTTATACATGCATGTATATATTTCTCTAGACTTAAACTAAAGCATTAAAAAAAAATGTTGTTTTGGTTTTTATGAATTTATTTTACGTATAAACATACATGTACGTGTTGGAACGGGGGGGGGGGGTCAAAGATATACAAAACATCGGTAAAAAATAAATGGGAGTAGATTTAGTAGATTTTAATTTCCTTCTAACATGAATGTAACAAAGTATTTTGTTATGACCCAAGAGTTTTATCTCCTTTGTAAAGACTTGATTGTCATGGCAATAATCTCTAGGGTCATAACA